TATCAGTTTTTTTACTTTTTACTTTTTTGCTCTTTATTTTTCCCTTTGATATAATTTAAATAGACCCTCGACAATCATCCATTCGAATTTCTTTCCCCCCTTCCCTTTTTTTTTTTTGCTTTCCATTTCGCCTTTTCATTCCCCCTTTTACTTTGCCTTTTCATTTTCCCTTTCCTTTTTTTTTTGTCATTTTTTTTTCTTTTTCACGACATTCGAGTTTATTTAATTCACTAAAGAGCTTCCCCCAATCTGCTCTTCCCCTTCAGCAAGCATATATGCATAAGCATATATTCGTATGAGCGCACAAACGAATGACGGCGCGCTTGTTCGTATCAGCCAGCATACGTACTTTTGAGCGTATGGGCATACACTTATCGTGATAAGTAAATTTATATACTGTATGCATTATACGGCATATGTAATTATACTGTGAGAGAATTTCCCTCCTGTTCCTTTTTTTTTTTAACCTTACACGCTACACAACATTAAATGTAAAGCGCTCCTTTTGATGAGCCCCTTTGCATTTCACGGCGTTGCCACGTACAGCTGTGTTTTCTTTTGCAATATCATTTTGGGGAGTTATTTTATTTATTTTTTTAACCCCCACCTTTTCTTTTTTTTTTTTTTTTTTTCCCAATCAAGTAATTAAAGCCCGCGACTGCACCTGTTGTAGGTAGTTGCACTCACGCTGACGTATGAGTTATTCAGGACTTTTTTTACGTGTACCCATTCGTGCATGTATGAACTCATATCGTAATCTGTTGTGAGGGGAGAAAACATGAACGGTTTTCTGTTTGCATTCTTTTGTGCATTGTGTACACCCCGTTTTATCTCCTGTTACCCTTTTTCACCTTTTTTATAGCTTTTTTTTTTTTTTATATATTTGTTATCACCCTTTTAATTTGAACGTGTGTGTGAAGTTGTAAGTGCTTCCCCCTCGCGCACTGGGGCATCGTGTATATGTACCTGTTGTCGTGTGTGCACCTACAGAGTAGCGCGCACTCGTACGAGGAGGCCAGGACACCCACACATTGTCGCCCCCCCCCCTTGTGCAAGCAGATAGGCAGAGACACGTGTCTGATTGTACACCTTTTTCCCCATTTTGTGTTTACGCGGGCATGGTTATGTGCGTTCCAGCCCGTGTACGCCGTTAAATTTTAAGCCACACAAAATGAAAAAAAAAAATATTGCGGCGGCCACTAGCTACGGCAAGGTGAAAAACCGCATGAACCGTTATGATATGAATGGTTCTTACAATTTAAATGAGTCCAAGAATGGTGGAAAGGTACCAGGAGGAGGTACTCCTGTGGATGGGAAGAAGAGTCGGGCGGAGGCGCCCCCCGCCGGTAAGGCCGCCAATAGCGTAACGAATAGCCCCGCGGTGAGTAGCCTACAGAATAACAATCATAACAGCACCCAGAACAGTGGAGGAGGAAATCCTCACCATGTGCAGGCGGCAAAATATGTTAAGAACGCCTATCCGTATGATTACAATGCGTACGGCTCGAAGAAGGTTGGAGAGTACAAGGAGAAAATGAAAGGTCCCATGGAGGGTGTGGGACATGGGGGAGAGATTGGTGGTGCACACGGTGAGGGGAGGAATGGTCAGGCTGTTACGAACAATGCCGGTGCCCCGGATAGTAAGGCTAATCGGGAAGCAGCAGGGTATAAGCCCATTGCTGGTGGTATGAAAGGGAATGGGGATAACGCGAACGGGGCTAACGCCATTGGGTTGAGCTCTAGTGGAGCCAATTTGAATCAGGCAAATGGAGGTAGAAACCAAAATACAGGGCGGAAAGGAAATAAAGAAGAAAAATTGAACGAAGAAGTAAGTTTGTTGAGGGAAAAAATATGTTTTAAAATGCTCAAAGGTATAGATATATATATTACAGAAATAATAATGAAGTCCTCATTTGTGACCGTATACAAAATGAAGGAAGATGAATTGAAATGGGTTCGAGCGGACATTGAAGGTTTCCTTTACATTGTTAGGAGATCCATAAAGCCAACTTACAGACTTATAATTACAAATAAAAAAAACGAAAACCATTTAGTACAGGATATCCACGGACGTATTAATTTGTCCACTGATCAAAATTATATTTTTTATCGAGTACATAATGAAGAGAGTAATTTGAAGAGTACCTACAGCCTGTGGTTTTATAGCACCGAGGAGAAGGAAAAGATATATAGTATGTTGAGAGAGTTAGTAGACAGGGGAGAAGGAGATCCATCCATCAGTAGCACTGCTAACCTGGGAAACTCAGACATTAATAGCCTTGCGAATGGCGCAAATGTGAGCCATGTACACAGTAAGAATATTAATTATATATTGTCCAAAGGGGATTGTGGTGTTAATGATGGAGCTTCCATAGCTGGGATCGCGACAGGAGCAGGAGTAATTATGGGGGCGAAAGCGAACGATGGTTCTTCGAAGAACGCTCTAATGAATGGACACGACGAGGATCTTCTCAAGGGAGGCACGAACCATGTAGGGGTGGTCAGCGGCGGGGATAACAACGTACAGAGAAAAGCAAATGCTAAGAACCTCATCCCTATGATGGCACCAGACAGTGGCAGGGATAACGATTATGAAAAGAATTTTGAACTGATGGATAATAATAAGTTAGAGAGTTTATATGCAAAGATGAACTTCCCAGTAGGTGAGGGAGGACATATCCCCCCAGGAGCTGCCAACGCTGTATATGGAAATTATTTGAAGCACTTATATAAGGCTAATGGTGGTGGAAGTGCAGGAGTGAATGGGATGATGGAAGCCATTGGACAGAGAAGCAAAATGAAGGATGCATCTGCGGAGGAAGGCCTCGCTGGATGTGATTCGAATGTGAAAGGGATGGCGCAACAGAACAACGTCGATTTTAATGACAAGGTTGGAAGGAAATTGCTTTACCTCATTAAGGGTTTGCCCATGGAAGGTGATAGGGGCGTCGATAGAGGCGGAGAAAAGGGAACTGAGAATTTGAAAAAGCTACCAGGAAACGATTTTTATGACGGTAGAAAGAGTGAAGATATGCCCAGGGGTTGTGGAACGAACAACCCTGTTGTTGTGGACGCAAAGGGAGGAGCAGGAGGTGCTTATCCTAATGACAAAGGCAGCGCCATTTCCGGTGGAGAAGCCATCATGAACTTATTAGGGTTAAGTAAGAACGGCGACGTGAAGGAAGACGAGGTGGAGGATAAGAAGAAGAAAAAGAAGAAGAAGGGCGCAAGTGGGGAAGTACCCGCCGGCGGGGGTGCAAATGGAAATGCAGTTGCAAATGGCAATGTTAGCGCAGGAATGAGCCAGATTAGTAATGCGCTTGGCGCCAAGGAGTTTGAGGCGAATATGCAAAAGAGAGGACTACAACTTAGGGAAATGCAGATGAGGGAGTTGCAGTTTAGGGAGATGCAGCTGAGGGAAATGCAACTCAGGGGGATGCAGATGAATGGGATGGCCATAAATGGGGTTCCGATTAATGGGCTGCCGCCTAACGGTATTCCACCTAACGGTATGCCGCCTAACGACCTGCAGATGCTCCCCTTGGAAGAGATAAATGGAAAGGCCATAAAATACCCAAAGGCAAAATCAGACTCTAGTGAAGAACCCATAAGCAACAACCACCTGATGGAGAAAGCCTACCTGGATAGACCATCATTTCAGAACAACTCCATTGAAAGTCTGCACAGCAAAGAAGTAGAAATGAGTAGTGGAAATATGGACGATGAGAAAAATATGACCAACGCTTTGCTCGATATGATTAAGCAGAAAGCAGACAGAGCGAAGCACGTGCTGGGGGGCGATGGTGTAAATCATCATGGGGGTCATGATAGCATTAACGAGTTCAACACAGATTCGTATGACATGTTGTTGAAGATGCAGAGTGGCGGTGGAAGTGGAGAGAGGAGAGCTAAGAGTGGCCATCCAGTGACCAACCGGATGGGCAGTCATGTTGGGAGCCATCTCGGAAGTCACTTCGATAACCGCAGCCACAACGGCCCATTTGATGAGGGCGAAATGCCAAGAAGGAATAACCACCCTGGGTATAGTCCCCACGATAAGCAGCTGATCAAGTATGAAGACCAGAGGACGGACAGCTACAGCGGCGTGGAGGACTACAAAAACAGGAGCATCCTTCTCAGCAGGAACACCATCCATAACGTCATCAAGGAGACGTTGCAGTCGGATGAGTTTGTTAATTTGTTGTGGAAAAAGTTGGTAACGAGCAAAAATATTATGTAATTTTTTTTTTTTTTTTTTTTTTTTTTTT